GATCTGGCTAATCTACATGCCTCCGTCGAAGGAGGCATGTAGTCTAGACACACTTTCTGTGGGGAATATTATGATGATCTGGTTAGCCAAGTAGCTTGTCAAGTGCTGCCCTCTTTGATATTTCAACTTCCTTCTCCTGCTGCTGCTGCCATGGGTCTCACTTTTCTGATCAGGAAGAGGAAATGGTCCCCACCATCCCACTCTTCTTTGAAAACAAAAGATAAAAACAGAAATCTTACAAATTAAAACAAATTGCACGCAGATTTTTTTTGATGCATCCGGTGGGTTTGTTTGAAGTAGAAATGGTTGGTTTATTCCAAATCTCAGTTTTAGAAATACAATAATACAGTTTGTAGTGCCTTGTATTTTGCTAGAATTATGACTGGGTCGGCCAAAGATGCGTGAATAGACTTAGAATTCAGGAACCTGAAATGCCCATTTGAATTACATTTACAGGCATTTTTCTTTCTCTCTGTTAGGTATCATGACTCTATCTCCTTTTGATCAAATGAAGACTGCCTCCAATATAGGTGGTTATAATGCTGCTATAAAGAATAGTCCACCTACTATGTCTCAGTACATTACTGTAGGCTCCAATCCTTTCACTGGTTTCTTTTATGCCCTGGAGGTATGTATGTATTATGAAATGGGCAAGATAAAAGAATTTGTTTGTCCCAGGTGGCAGATGAGAGAATTAATATCCTTTTCCATATTAAAAATAAGGCTATTTTTTGGAGGATATTTCATTTACCCCAGTTTTGTGCAGGGTTCCCTCCCCAACCTCCCAAGTTTTCAGAATCGGCTAATATCCTTTTGGGTTGTAATAGCTTCTTCATAAAATGTGCTACAGGTTTCTGCCATCTAGTACTTTTAACTTTTAAAATCTTAAATTTTTTAAAAAAAGAAACTTTTCTTAAAAGATTAATTTTGTTAGTTGAGACTTTCTTCCATTATCTACTCACTCATGGCTTAAGGAAGTTTTAGATCACACATCAGAATCCAATTTTCAAATAATTTTGGTTTCTGGAGGCACTTGGATTTTTTGCCCTGTTGTACTGAAACACTGGGAGTATTTTGTAATCTAATGTCCTCTTACCCTAGTTTGTGCTTTGCTATCTTTGTAACCACAGTGTTAAAATGATATTGCTTGGCCTGGCCCTTTCACAAAATTTTGATGTGTTCTTTATGTATTGATAAAAAAGCATGGCTATATTTATGTTCCTATTTACCTTTTGTATATTTGAACCAAACAGGACAGAGTGCAATCTCATTGTTTAGGTCAACAAGGTGACAAAAAGAGGGCAATATCAGAACATTGTGCAGCTCAGTTTTTGCAAAAAGTTTTTGGAAAATGTAATTATTTTGGTGTCAATAAGGAACTTGGCACCCTAGAATCTGCTAGTGCTCCATGAAGCCTAGTGCTCCTAGGCTGCTGTAGCATAGGACTAGGGTACCAGAGAGTCTCGGAAGGCCTCTGAAAGAGAAAGTGGGGACTTGGAGATATAGAATGACATCTTTTTAGGGACATTGAATTGTGATCTTGCTAAACATCTAGCTCTTTTCCTAGTCCCAGGTCTGTGATGTCTACATAGCTGAGATCTCCTGTAGTTTTCCTATCTCACTGAAAAACCATCACTTGCATGTATTGAGAATAAATGTGGATGATGTCAAAGTTGACATCTTTTTCACATTTGACTGTAATGCATTTTTTTTTTCATTTCTGGAGTTAATGGTTTGTGTTATGTATTTCAACACTTGAGTTCTCATATAGCGATAAGATAAAATTAACTATTTTGTTGCTTTCTAACAGCGCTTTTACTTTTTCTTTCAGGGTAGCACGCAGCCATTGTTGTCTCACGTTGCATTAGCAGTTGCTAGTAAACTGACTTCAGCATTCTTTAATGCTGCCAGGTAATGAAATTCAAAATAAAATGTAGCTTTAATTTAGTTTTAACTTGTGTGTCCGAAGTTTTGCATTTCTTGGCATTCTGCTGATCTTTTTTTTTTTTTTTCTATTGCAAGTGGCTGGCTTGGTTGGAAGAGTAAACATGAAGAAGAAACTGTCCAAAAGCAGAAACCCAAAGTTGAACCTGCTACTCCTTTACCTGTGAGGCAAGTTTAACATCTACACCTCAATTGCTTTGAAGCTCTGTTCCTTCATTGCCTTGAATAGTTTTGAAAGTGGTAATTTTGTGCTAGGTCTATTTGAGTTTGGTTTCAGTTGATATAGCTTAATAAATTAAAAGGATTTAATGAACTCTGTGTAGCTCTCAGCAAACATTTGTTCACCACCTCCCTCCAAAACAAGAGAACAAAAACCTGCTTCATTTGGCAGCATGAGAATCACTGTTAAATAGGTTAAATACTGGAACAGCTGACCTAAAGTTTACAATTTGGGTCATTCAACAGACTTGCATGAGCAATCTTGTAAATACTTTCACTGTACAAAATGCTTTGCATGTAAGGATGTAAAAGTTCCTTACAACGACTCATGGGAAGTATCCTCATTTTACTTCTGTTTTTATTAACAAAAACAAAACACCTACCTTTTTGGCTTCATAGAAAAAAATTTCTCTAATAATGTAAAAGATACTCTTCATAATTCTAAAATAATGTATGTAGTATTTTTAAATATTCATTAATTGAATGTTTGATTTCAGGTTTGGACTTCCAGATTCCCGACGCCATGGTGAAAGCATACGTCTGTCTCCATGTAACACGTTGGCAGCAGTAACTGATGACTTTGGAAGAGTTCTCTTACTGGATGTTACACGGGGACTTGCCGTTCGCATGTGGAAAGGTACGTGTTGGTGTATATTAACAGAGCAATTAGTTTGCTTGGAAATGGTGTCTGTGTTCAGTTTGGCTTAAAATTCTTAGTACAGGTTGAAACCCTCTTAACTGGGATTCTCTGGTTCAGCAACATCCATGGACTGGCACTGAGGTTGCAGGACCAGAGTGTTCCGGTGGAGGGCCCGTGGCACGGATCCCTGCGGGGCGGCAGGGCAGTGGACTGCAGCAGGTCTGCAAGCAAACATTCTCATATTCTTGTTGATGAATTGAGCACAAGTATGTCAGCTGTTTTCAGGGGTCTCCCTGTTGGAGGATGAGGGAACCGTTACTTCCACATCCCTCGAGGCTGCTTAGTTTCCCTGTTTCAGCTACAATAGATAGCATAATGATGTATCCCTGGTGCATTCCTTTCTCCTGGAGTTGGGTTTTATCAGATGCTTCTCTATTAATTCAGATAAACATCTTCACTATTTTGCTTATCTGAGTTACTGACCTTTTCATGTGTAATCTTTAACACCCTTCCATGATCATATATTTGGGGGAGGGGTGGATTTTTTTTGTCTTTACTTTTTTAGTTAACAAACATTTACTAAGTTTTGTTTGCCAAATTTCCTAGCATTTACAGCAAGTTGCTTAAATCTGTTTATAATAAAGGTCGGTGTGAACCACGTTTGCTTGCTCTTAAAGGCCTAGGAGAAAAATGGTAACGTGTTTAATGGCTGAATGTTTTGCATGTGTTTCCTATTGAGGTAAGCACCTCTTAAGGAGATGGTGCAAAGTAAAGTAGGATTTTTGGTTGACTTATTCCACCAACACGTTAGAAACCTCACAATTAAATTATACATGAGTTTTAAAACTTGGTTTGTGTGTTAATTGTAATGTGGCTTTGGAGGTTTTGTTGGTATCACTTGTGTGTGCTCAATACTACATACTACCCTGGTGACATGATAATTTTCATGCTCTGTTCTGGAAGGCATTTGTTTTAAGAGCTTGGTTGTGGGAGGGTAGGGTAGAGGGGGGGAGGAGGAAGGGGAAAAGGGGAAAAATAAGCCCAATTCGAGTAAATGTGAATAAAGTATTTAGGTTGGGAAAAGATGCTTGTATTACTGTAATATAGCATTTAGGTGGTCACAATAAATCTTTTTGGGTGGGCACAATAGCCTTCTAGCCAATACTCAGATAATACAAACTCTGTTCCAGGAGCAGCAGTTTCGTCGTGTTTTTTGTTTGTGTAAACTAATTTACTTACTGTCTATAATTTCTTACAAAGGATATCGTGATGCACAAATTGGTTGGGTTCAGACTGTAGAAGACCTTCATGAAAGAGAAGCTGAAAAGGTGGATTTTTCTCCTTTTGGGAGTACTCGAGGACCAAGCAGGGTGGCTCAATTTCTTGTGATCTATGCTCCAAGAAGAGGAATCCTGGAAGTGTGGAGCACTCAGCAAGGACCCCGGGTTGGAGCCTTCAATGTGGGGAAACACTGTAGGTAAGAAACTCATAGCATTTTGATAAGTTTACAAGTACGTTATGCTAGGGGAGTAGATAAGGCCCGGTCTACACAGGCGGAAAAATTGATGCAAGATACGCAACTCCAGCTATGCAAAATGTGTAGCTGGAGTCGACGTACATTGCATTGATTTTTTTCTGGGACGGTCCCACAGTGGGAGGTTGACAGGAGAAATGCTCCTGTCAGCTTCCCTTAGTCCTTGTGACAGCGACAGTTAGGGGTGCCATAGTCAACGGGGGTGCCCTCAGCGTTCGATTTAGCGGGTCTGTACTGAACCCACTAAATTGAACCCTGGAATATCAGTCGCTGGGGTGTCGATTCTCTGGTAAGTTGGGATAAGGCCTAAGTGTGTTGTAGGCATATTTCCGCCTCTCAGGTCAGTCTTGTTCCAATGCTCGCAGTGATGAGTATTAATAGACAATTGCACTGAGTACATCTGATACATGCTTGATTACACTTCAGAGTAGTGTTCCCTCTAACATTTTCTATCCTTGGGCTGTTTTAATTTTCTTCTGGGGGGTTGAAATTTCTTATGTGCAACACCAATATTGAGAAAGTAGGGATGTGCGCCCCCCCAATACGAACATAAGAACGGCCGTACTGGTCAGACCAAAGGTCCATCTAGCCCAGTAGCCTGTCTGCCGACAGTGGCCAGCACCAGGTGCCCTAGAGAGGGTGGACCGAAGACAATGATCAAGCGATTTGTCTCCTGCCATCCCTCTCCAGCCTCTGACAAACAGAGGCCAAGGACACCATTTTATTCCCTGGCTAATAGCCTTTTATGGACCTAACCTCCATGAAATTATCTAGCTTCTCTTTAAAACTATAATAGAGTTTAACACAAACAAAAAACATTGTGTTATACATAAAATATGTACACGCGCGTGCACACATGGAGTCCATAGGTGTGGAAGAAAATATATTAAAACAAGGGATTGTTAAAAGAAGCAATGCTTACAATATTTAATATGAAATCAAATAAAAAAGAAAATTAATTCTACCCTTGAAGTACATGTACATCTTTTCTAACAACTTAAGCTAATAAACACACCAAAATGCATATTATTCACACACAGTTTTAAGATGCTAAACATATGTATGTCAACTAGAAATATTCATGCATGCCTGGCAAATACTAATACAATATTTACTGACACTGAAAAGGAGAGTAAAAGGTCTTCACAGGATCCATGCTATAAAAGAACAAGTGAAACAGAGAACTGTAAAAAACAGATAAATTCTCCTGGTTTGAAACTTTCACCTTGTGTGTGTAACCAGATCAAAGAGTAGAAGCCTCTGAACAAATTACAAATCCTGAAGCCATGTGTTAGACAGATTTATGTTTCAAAGAGCTCGCAAATAAGATTTCATCCTACAAAATAACTAGCATCACACCTAGTACTTGCTACTTCTGACTTATAAGAACCAGAATTCTACCACATAGCAAAGATCTGGCCTTAAAATGCAATACAATATACCATGTAATAATTAGTAACACGGGATTTTAAAAAATCATTACAAGTTTTATGTATCTCCAACGCGCCCCCCTCCTTCCCCCCTTTATTAATCTTTGCTGGCATTGATCACTAATTACGTGTTCTGATGGTTAAGATTGGTCTTGCTGGACTTTGGCCATATGAAATTCTTCTGTGTCGTATACAAAAAATGTTAGTAATTCCAGTCTTCACTGTTATGGCTATATCTGTGTGTTTCAGGTTGCTGTATCCTGGCTATAAAATAATGGGTTTAAACAATATGACGAGTCAAGGTTGGCAGTCTCAGACTTACCAGATCTGTCTTGTTGACCCAGTGTCTGGAAGCATAAAAACTGTTCATGTACCTTTCCATTTAGCGCTAAGGTAAGGTTAGCTGAATTTTATATCATTGTCTACCTCAACTTACTTTTTTTATTGGCAGTCTTAAGATAAGTATGTTAAATTGGTTTTAGTTCCAGAGGGTCAAATTTTGCAATTTGTTCTCATGCTGAATAGTGCATTATTTCATGAGTAGTCCCATACATCGTGTGGAGTAAGGTGTACTCAGTGTGAGTGATGATGGTGGAATTCAGCCCATGGAAAATGAAACTCATGACTATTTTGGATGAGTTAATGCTTGAGTTTTAGACTAACTAGTAATTGCTTTAATGTCATGTCAGAAAGAACAAATGCTTTCACCAATGAAATAATTCAAAAGTAAAAAAATATAAAATTTGCAGAGAACTTTTTCCACTTACTATCTCATTGTGCTTGACATATAATATATTTTTTCAGTGATAAAAAGAGTGAACGAGCAAAGGATATGCATCTAGTGAAGAGGTTAAGTGTTTTACTCAAAGCTAAAACTTCAAATCAAGGTAGGTTTCTTCAAAATGTTTGTAATTTCTTTGTCTTATCAACTGAATCACACATAACGCGATACAGTCCCCGTATCTTTAGAGTACATGTGAATCATAGTTTTACAGGCCCACTGATGGGGTGACGGGGAGGTGCTTCAAAAAGGCCTGGGGCTCCTGTCTGCCAGAGTTCTGGGCCCTTTAAATCCCCACCATGCAACGTAGTACACTCCAGGCAACTCTCAAGGGTTGGCTACCTTCAGTCCCGCCCCTTCCATCCGAGGCCCTGCCCCTTTTGGGACTGTGGAGCTGGGTCCCCTCCCCCCACACACACTTTGCCCAAGGGCCCAGCAAGTCTCTTGGTCCCCCTGTACATATAGTCCCATAGAGTGTGCCATCTTCATATTCATTAGGTGTAAGTGAATTCATTTGCAAATTGAAAGAACAGCTGCAAACGTACAATTAATATTTTTATTAAAATCAGATTAGAATTTTGCCAGCACAAGCCACATCCACCATTTAAGTCCTACTTGAATTCTTTTTAGAGTTCTTAAAAGGTGCATATCCTTCAGGCTTGGCATCTGCATGGGGTAGAGAGGGATTTCACCTTTTGAGCATAGATATCCTTGGTCCTATATAATTTTTTATTATGAAATAGGAAAATCTAGAATGATACATGTGTCTCTCTGAGAAACACGGTGGTTGAGGTGTAGTCTCTTACTGGACCAAGTTTTGTTATTTCTGATATTACGTCACCCACCTTATCTCTAATATCTGGGACCAACATAACAACAATGACACTGTTCACAGCTGAAACAAAAAACAGGACTATGTAGCACTTTAAAGACTAACAATATGTGTTCTTGGGTGATGAGCTTTCGTGGGCCAGACCCACTTCCTCAGATCAAATAGTGGAAGAAAATTGGTACAACCATATATACACCAAAGGATACAATAAAAAAATGAACACATATGAAAAGGACAAATCAAATTTCAGAACAGAAAGGGGATGGGGGGGGGGGGGGGGGGGAGAAAGGTCGGGGGAGATGTAGCCATGTTAGTCTTGTCTAGCTGAAACAAAATACAGGACTATGTAGCCCTTTAAAGACTAACAAGATGGTTTATTAGGTGATGAGCTTTCGTGGGCCTGGTGTTAAAAAGTCTTTGAAGCAGGATGCAGGTAATCAGATCATTGAGACAATGCCCTTTCTGGTTGAAATGGCAAGAAACTGTTTTTTCTTTGTGATCCTGTCTAATATCGGTTTTGTGGGCATTGATTCTTTGGCGAAGTGTCTGAGACGTTTGTCCAATGTACATAGCAGATGGACACTTTCGGCACATGATAGCATAAATTATATTTCTGGATGAGCAGGATCAAGAACACATATTGTTAGTCTTTAAAGTGCTACATAGTCCTGTTTTTTGTTTCAGCTACACCAGACTAACACGGCTACATTTCTATTACTGCTAACTCCACAGCTTCTCCAATCCTGTCAAACCAAAATGTAAATAAGTGTACATCTTCCTTGTACTGCAGAATCACTTACTTTTCCAAATCCATGTTTGAAAGTATGAATTAATGACTTGATATCTTTGTTACAGACATGATTGAAGCTGAAGCTAAGGAATTAATTCTTGATATTAAATACCCAGCTACAAAAAAACAGGTGAATACTGAGAAAGGGGAGTTTCATTCTGGGAAAGAAATTTCACACAATCAGACTTGGGTATAAAGCCATCGAACGTTTCACAGTTTTCTTAATTCTTTCCATGTTTTCTAATTGATGACATTTAAGGACTTGTTTTACAGAATTGCTGATTTTATTTTTTCTATAACACAACAGATTTCATGTTGATTTGTGACTTTGCTGTAGGATCTATTTGTGCTATAAGGGATAAAACTTTTACAGTACAAAAATGTGTATTAGAAATAATAACTTGTATTATTGGGGGCGGCTTTAAACACTTCAACAGTAATATGAAGCAAAATGAATGGAAACACTGCATTTTGTTATGTTTTTCCTAACAGGCTTTGGAAAGTATATTGGCAAGTGAACGTTTGACGCTCTCCGCTCTCTCAAACATCACTCAGACATTGATGGACACCTTAAAAAACCAGGGTAAGTGAAAACTGATTTTGGAATTATGCAGACACCCATGCAGCTTATCTGTGATGTGGCTTGAAGTGAAACTATTGGTGTGAGGCAGGGGGAATATCTGTCATGGGACTCCACTGCTTCATCAAACTTGGGTTGCTTGGCTTTTCTGTCAGGGTAGAGCAAGAAGGTCCTTTTGTAGACGGATTTTTTTCCTGCCTACATCAGCTTGCTAGTGAGCAGCATCCTCATCAGCACTTGCCAAGTATATATCTGTTATGGAAGAATTACTTCAGTATATATTTGAAATCTGTAATTTGCTGAATGAGTCTATGCATTATGTATATTTTGTAAATGTAGGAAGTAAACTGATTTCATTCTCTCTCACACACACACACACACACACACACACACACACACACATATATATATTTTCTTGTAAATAATTATTTCATGTGTTTTGGCATCTTCACCAAGCCTCTATTTTGTACATATTAGTAAAATAAGCTGGGCTCTGTTCCCACTCCTACCTCCTGCGGTAATCCTGTTGTCAAGGACAGAATTCTCCACAAGATTCCACCTTATGGAGCTCCTTCAGTCTTCTCCCTTCCTTAACAAGGAAATGAGGGTCTGGCCCTTTTTAACCTTTTGAATTCACTTAAGTCTGTCTAATTTCAGAGGTGTGGAATAAAATAGGAGTTTTCCCATTCCTGGGGCCAGGATTTCATCACTGAGTGTTTTCCCTAACTTTGGCCTGTCACGATCAGGGCAAGGTCTGGCTTTAAATAGCTAGTATATCCACTCAAATGTGAAGTCCTAAAAATATAGATTAAAAGAAACTATTTTCATGATTAATTGGAAAATGTGCATCTCCATTTTCATTCGGTATTTGTTGAGACCTCTTTGTTAGATTGTGTTCTTTGTTTTTCCATCTGCACTGTATTCCCTGCTGGCCACAGTACAGAACAAATTTGGCTGAATTTCCTGCCTCCTACTTTCGTTGTGTATCCTCCAATAGTATTGTGGATAGATGGATATTCTGAAACATGGTAGCCTATGTGAATGCTGTTGTTGTGAGGAAAAGGTCATAAGAATGGCAATACTAGGTCAGAGGTCTAATACAAAGGTCTATCTAGTCCAGTATCTTGTCTTCTGACAGTGGCCAATGCCAGGTTTCCCCGAGGGAATGAACAGAACAGGGAATCATCAAGTGATCTATCTGTTGCCTATTCCTAGCTTCTGAGAAACAGAGCCGAAGACACCGTTCCTGCCCATCCTGGCTAATAACCATTGATTGACCTATGCTCCATGAATTTATCTAGTTCTTTTTTCAATTCTATTGAAAACCTGATCTTGAAAACATCTTCTGGCAAGGAGTTCTAGAGGTTGACTCTACGCTGAGTGAAGAAATACTTCCTTTGTTTGTTTTAAACCTGCTACCTATTAATTTCATTTGGTGACCCCTAGTTCTTGTGCTATGGGAACAAGTAAATAACTTTTCCTTTTTTACTGTCACCACACCAGTCATATCATAGACCTCTATCATACCCCCTTTAGTCTCCTCTTTTCTAAGCTGCAAAGTCCCTAGTTTTATTAATCTCTCCTCATATGGCACCTAATCCATACCCCTAATCATTTTTGTTGCCTTTTTCTGAACTTTTTCCAGTGTCGAGATACCTTTTTTGAGATGAGGTGACCACATCTGCAGGCAGTATTCAAGATGTGGCTGTACCATGGTTTTATATAGAGGCAATAAGATAGTCTTCATCGTATTCTCTATCCCTTTTTTAATGATTCTTAACATTCTGTTAGCTTTGTTGACTGCTCCAGCACATAGAGTGAATGTTTTCAGAGAACTGTCAGTGACTCCAAAATCTCTCACTTGAGTGATAACGGCTAAATTAGTCCCCATCATTTTATACCTATAGTTGGTATTATGTGTTTCTATATCAATTACTTTGCATTTATCAACATTAAAATTTATCTGCCATTTTGTTGCCCAGTCACCTAGTTTTGTGAGATCCTTTTGAAGTTCTTCACAGTCTGCTTTGGACTTAACCAGCTTGAGCATTTTGGTACCTGTGAATTTTGCCACCTCACTGTTTACTCCTTTCTCCAGATTATTTATAAATATCTGGAATAGGATTGGTCCCAGTATGGACCCAGTGGGGCACCACTAGTTACCTCTCTCCCATTCTGGAAACTGACCATTTATTGCTACCCATTGACTGATAAGCCGTGCACCCTTGCTTTTTGTTTCCAGGATTTTTAATAGCAGAATATCTGAGAAGTGGCTGTACTTTATAAAGAAATGTGTATACTGGGTAATCATTTGAGCATACGTATGGTTTGTTAGAGTCAAATCTGTGTACATAAAAATCTGTTTAGAATCTTTGTTTTATGTCCTGTAATATCAGGTAAATTAATACATTACTAAATGTGATACTGAGTACGTAGCAGGTAGAGCGTATCAAATTTGTTCTTAAGAATTGGTTTCCAGCATACATGGATTAAAAAAGGAGAGAGACAAGGTGGATGAGGTAATATCTTTTATTGGACCAACTAATTTCAAGGTGATGTGAGAAAGTAGATATGTATCAAATGATACGCTATTGTTTTGTTACTGAATCTAAGCAATGGGATTAGTTATCTTTTTCTTCAGTTTACATTTTAGTAGGTAGAAGAAAAACTGAATGTTTGCACATGTTGAGTAATAACTCAGCAGTCTAAAATAGTTATCCCCAACCTTTTGATGCCCAAAATCAAGTCTGGGATTTAAGGGCAACCGAAGATGTATCCTGCCCCTTCTCCAAAGCCCGGCACTGTTCATACCATTCCCCCCTTTCCTTGTTCCTCACTCTTCCCCCACCCTCTCTCTCAGGTGGTTGGGTTCAGGAGGGGGATTGGCATGTATGAGGGGGGCTCAGGGCTCAGACTTGGGGTGCAGGAGGGAGTATGGTGTGCTGGCTCTTAGGGGCAATCAGGATTGAGGTAGGGTTGTGAGGTGCTGGCTCTGGGAGCGGGTTCAGGAGTAGGGTTTGGGATGCAGGGTATAGGGTGTTGTCCCTGGCAGGGGACTCAGGGCTGGGGTTTGGAGTGAAGGAGGGGGTGCTGGTTCTGGGAGGGAATCGGGTTCAGGAGGGGCTGCTGGTTCTGGGAGAGGAATTGGGGCAGGGTAGGAGTGCAGGAGGAGGTTTGGGGGTTGTGGTGTGCTTTCCTGCAGGACAGCTTTTACAGTTCATAGCTCCAGGTCAGCGGTGCAGAGAGGCTGAGGCACTGAGTCATTCTCCTTTGTCCACAAAGTCTACCTAGAGCAGAGTCCTGCAGATCAGTGAACACTGATGTCTATCTGCAGGCAGACATTTCTATCCATGCTGGGCTCGTATGTGCTGCTCCCAGAGGGGGCCAACAAGCCCCTGTATCTGAGACATGTGGTTTTACATGCTGACTCTCTCTGTGAGCGCTGCCCATCAGTTCCACTGTTGGCCACAGTTTCCCTTTCCTACCCAATGGGAGCTGTGGGGAGCAGTGCTTGCAGGCAGGAACAAATCACCGATATTCCTGCCTGCACATCCCCTCCCTCCACATATACACAAGGCCATGTTGGCTGTTCCTGATAATGGGACAGCAGTGTAGAGCTGGGGCAGACAGGTAGTTGGCTGAGTGCTGATTGCAACCAACTGGGAGACTTCCCAGGATCAACCAGTCACTTGCGATCAACCAGTTGGTGACTATTGGTATAGACAGACTCCTGATTGCAGATGTTGGCATCTGTTTTGGATGGTCTTGTAATTGGCTGCTTCTGCACTTGTTTTGAAATTACAGGAACCTTTGTGCAAATTATACTGAGGTGTTGAATTATCAGTTCCTTGTTTCTTCACAAATGTGAGTTACTATATACATTGAAAAACCGCCACCCTTAAATTTGGTTATTTCCATTATGCCTTTCAGCCTGCACAAGAAGTTGAGCTTGAATATATTCTCTAGCTTGATAGAAAAGCAAAAGAAGGCACTTAGTAATAATTTGACTAAAATATTCTTTTGAGAAAGTAGTGCTTTTGTAAATCTAAAGTCTAGGTTGATATCAATTGCATATGGGTTCTCTGGCTGCCATGGTTATGCTAGTTGCTTTCCCCAAACCCTGAAGAATTACAAATATCAAGGGATCTCAATTGCTTTTTGTGAACATGGTTTCCATTTTATCACTGAAAGACAGTAATGCCTATTCTGCTTCCTCAGTTTTAGTCTTGGAAACATTATCTGTAGCTTTTTATTAAAAGATTTACCATATTCACATTATTGGCATCATGACGAGAGAGACCAAAGTTCATGCAGCATTGTAGTTTGCAAGATACATACTTATTTTTAAGAGTAAGTATTGCAGTCTATAGCATCTTTCATTTCCCAGATTTTTACATACTGGAGCATGATAGGGCCAATGCAGTAGCCTTGTGTTCAATATCACATCACAGCCCTTTTCTTGTTAAAAATAAGCCTGATACCTTTCTTGCTTTTGGTTAAAAAAATCTTCCCTTTAACTTGCCATGGATTAAACATATCATGAGCAACTGTGCATCAAAAATATGGGACTGGAGCAAATGTCATCTAGCTCTTACATAAGAGTTTAATGAAGCAACCAAGAACATTTCACAGCTCCGGTACACACCTTCCTTCAGACTAATGTGCATCTTTATTTCTCTCTCTCCAGAGCTTGTGTGTGTTGATGAAGGGTTGCTCCAATTCTGTGCAAATAAGTTAAAGCTGCTGAATCTTTATGAGTCAGTCAGCAAACTGAATTCTTTGAGCATGCAACCGAGCACTTCACTCTCTCAAAATGTAAGTAATGTCAAAACTTTTTTCTCTGAAAGAAATAACTGTTTGACAATGGATGAAATGGAAAACCATTAGGGCGCTCAAGCATTTAAAATTAATCTGGATTAATTGCAGGATTGAGTTATTCAATAATAGAATAGCATTTATTTAAGTATTTTGAATGTTTTCCACATTTTCAAATACATTAATTTCAGTTAAAACACAGACCACAAAGTGAACACTGCTCACTGTATATTGTTTTTTTACAATATTTTCACTGTAAAAATTAATGGTATTTCAGTTTACCTATACAAATACTGTAGAGCTATCACTTTAACATGAAAGTTGAACTTAACAATGTAGAATTATGTACAAAAAAAGTTCACTCAAAACCAGTGTAAAACTTTAGAGCCTACAAGTCCATTCAGTCATACATCATCTTCAGCCAATCATTTGGACAAACAAGTTTGTTTACATTTTATGGGAGATAATGCAACCTACCTCTTGTCACATGAAGCATTCACATGGCACTGTTGTAGTGGACATCACACAATATTTACATGCCAGATATGCTAAAAGAAATCATATGTCCCTTCATACTTCAACCACCATTTTAGAGAAGATGCATCCTGCTGATAATGGGTTCTGCTCAGCCTAAACCCGAGCAGACTCATGCACATTCATTTTCATAATTTGACTCATATGCCACCAGCAGAAAGTAGATTTTCTTTTTTTGGTGGTTCAGATTCTGTAGTTTCCTCATCAGAGTGTTGGTTTTCTGAAAGCATGTTGCACTGCTTTTTCCTATTAGATTTTTGGAAGGCACTTCAGATTCTTAAACCTCAGGCTGAATGCTATAGTGTCATTTAGAAATCTCACATTGGTTGGTATTAGTGATTGACTCAAGAAGTAATACTGAGTGGACTTGTAAGCTCTAAAGTTTTACATTATTGTTTTTGAATACAGTTATATAACAAAATCTATATTTGTAAATTGCACTTTCACAAGAGAGATTGCATTACATAACTTGTATGAGGTCAATTGAAAAATACTATTTTTTTTGTTTTTGTACTGCAAATGTTTGTAATAATACACCTTAAGCACTGTACATTTTCTGTGTTGTAATTGAAATTTCTATATTTGAAAATGTAGAGAAACATCCAAAATATTTAATACATTTGAATTGAATTGTATATTGTTTAACAGTGTAATTAAAACTGATTAAGTGTAAATAATTTGAGTTAATCACATGACTTAACTTCAGTTAAATTGACAGCCCTAAAAACATTTTGAGGGATTGGCAGTGAAGACCGTAGGATGGCAGAACTGGAGGCAAAAACATTTAAAGAAATGCCTGGTTATGGCACAGTTCAGTGATCTCATGTGCTGTACAAATGCTAATTAACTGAGCTTCCTGGCAATGTTGTGTTAGTCACTTGATGTGTGAGACAGAGCCAGGAATAGAACTTGTCTCCTGACTTCAGTCAGACAGCGGAGAGAAATTGGATGTGGGGAATAAATATATTAATGTCCGAATATAAACTTACATAGAGTCGTTATATATTGTAGTTTTTTGTCTTTCTGTTTTTTAGGATTTGGCTAAACTACTCAGGCTGGATGACAGAGAGTTTGCTAGGCTCCAGGCATTATTGGAAAACTACAAGCAAGAGAATACTCAAGCCACCGTTCGATTTGCTGAGGATAAAGATGGCATATTGCCTGTGAAAATGTTCTTGGAGTATTTAGAATATGAAAAGGATATCATCCTAGTAAAAAAACTAGATGAAGGAGAATATGTGGCTTTAGGTAAGAGCTGTTGATGCACTAGTGTTTGTCAGATAAATGCATTATTCTGTTTAGCATAACTTTAAAATCGGTGTGAAAAATTGCTCAAAATATTCACTGGATGGACATTTTTTTGGTCTGATCCATTTATTTATTAGATACTGAAAGAAAAGAGTCTCCCAGTTAGATGAAGGGATATTGGTAGGGTGACAAACTCACACTTTCTCCTTAGCTGCAGGAAACAGGTGTTGGAATTCCCAGCGCTGTGTTGCCTCTCAATCTCCCATACCTTTACTAAGCTGCCTCCTGGAAATGAGGTGGAAAATATTTCTCAGTTGCCCACCTATTTCATTCCCCCCACATCACCCCCACTTGCAAAAGGCACCTCACACTGGCAGATATTAATTTTAGACCCTTCTGTCCAACTATTTGGCATATATGAAACTACTGTATGAGTGAGACAAATGGCTTCTAGTCATGGCCTCAATGAACTTCCTCATGAGAGGAACTGGAGCTGAAGAAATCTAGGGCTGTCTACCTTTGTCTGTGTCAACAGCAAAGGCCCTTTCTAGGGTAGCCTCAAGTTTACTTCAGCTTCCTTCTCTGTCCCCTCTAAAATACTGTACTTAGGTTTTAAAACCAGGTCAGAGTCACTAGGTCTCTTGCTGAGCAGAACCAGGAGTAGACAAACTACCTCAATAACTGAACTGCTATAAGCTGGTGATATAAATAATGACAACAAAACAAACATAATGTAAACTTTTTCCTAAGTAGAGCTGTGTTTTCTGCAAGAGCACTCTGGTGCTCCTACTTCCCTCTACCTCCGACACATACAACCCTTTTATATTCCTGAATTGGCACACATAGGACTCAAGATCTGACACCTGAGCAAATCAGCTCTGGTTCTCCATGCCATATCCTAAAACATGCTGCCATGGCATACAGGCATGGATTGGCTGGCAGCTAAATTTACTTTCATACACATTCTACTTTTTAAACTCTTCTGTATATTGTATGGTATGTATAATCTGAACAATCTGTCTTACATTGTTATATAGTGTTTGTCCACACACTCTGCTTGCCTTCCTTTCTTTGTTTTTTTTGGGGAAAAATTAAGAATAAAATAGTCACACAAAGCAGCACTGTTTGGAATATCCCAATTTCTTGCAGTGTATCCTTGACCCTGTTGTCTGTTTATGGATCCGCAGGCTCCCCATCAGTCAAGTCTGTGACCTTTCTTCCTTCCTTTATTCTTTCCTTTCTTCCTTCTTTCCCAGGAAGCTTAAAAATAGTGAGGTATTCCACTGTTTGCTCAAAGCTCCCTTGTCTCAAGCCCAGTAAGTCCTGATCTGTTTGATGAACTGGTCATGTGCATATTGAGTGTTGCTTGTAGTAGATGAAGTTCATGTGTTTATTTTAGGCAGCTTTTTTTTCTGGAAATGTTTGTGTGGAGAGAGTTCTACAGAGGAAATGTGTCATATACTGGAGTCTGCAGGATTTACCCCTCAGCTGTTGTTGGTAAGATACTGATTCGTCATCTGCTTTTTACTCAAAATGTTAAGAAATTTAAACAGGAAAATTTCTCAATGTACAATATTTACCTTTAAGCACTGGGTAGAGCCATGTACACTTAGCATGTTAGTGTTTAACCTTTTGCCCTTTTTCAGGTCCATAAATCCCTTCAATCGTAATGGGATAGTCGAATCATTTTATGTAATAAAATGGTTACAACTCAGGATAAAATAGAGGGGCATTTAAATTCTGTTCCAAAATGTCTGCAGCCTAATTACTATCTAATGTATATATTAGGGAATACATATACGCAGTCTCAAAGACTCATGGCTCTTCTGTTATGAGAAATAATACACTTTCTCCTAGCAACTAAGCAATAAATCCAAGTGCAATACATATTTTTGTGGAATGAGACTTAAGGAAATATTTTTTTATTTTAAACATAGAAAAGGTTTTTATGTACTTAATTTAATAAAACCCTTTTAATTTTAGAAAACAATTTATGATTTGATCAGTGCATTAGCTGGCCCAGCTTAGTGTGGCTTCTGTATGAGAGGTTGAAACTTTCTCTAAACCAGGATTCTCTGATCTGGCAACCAGACCACGGACGTTCCAGGACCAAAGAGTCCTGGTGGAAGGCTGGTGTGTGGGAGCCATGCACTTTGGTAGGGCAGCGGGCTGTCAGCAGTGAGCAACTAACGAGACTTGGAGACCAGCGCACGGCGGTGGGGCTGCTGGGCACACAGGGGACAGGACTTTGGCATATGGTGGTGGGGGCCAGTGACAAAGGGGGAACCAGCCAGGAGGCCAGTGGGAGGGCCAGGAGAAGGGTGGGGGGCAGTGTCCAGAAATGACATCCCTTGGTCTGGCAAAATCCCTCATCCGGGCCCAGACAGGTCCCGAGGGTGCTGAACCAGGGAGGTCCAACTTCTATATGTGCATGTTTAATTTCAACTATGAATGCTCATTTCTTGCAGCCTATGTTCCTCTCTTATGTTTCATCTCCTAACTCTAGTGCTCTCCTGCTCCAGACTTATGACTTAATCTTTTCTGGTTTAAGAAACTTCTGCTCCCTGCCTTTATTTTGTACTCAATGTAACATGGTACCAATTTTGGTGAAGTTAAGATTGCTTATCTGATTGCTGTTGTCTGTCAGGTTCACGAGAGCAGTTTGTTCCAGAGGATCTTTTTTTGTAATTGATAGATTGCTGAAGTGTGGTACCGTTATACTTAAAAACATTGTCATGTGACTTACTATATGCAGTACACAAATAAACCTTTTGTTGATGTACGATAACTTGGTTCTAGGGATCATACAGTTTCACTCAACCCTAAGGAGTTATGTTGGAGAAAATACAGCCTTTGATGTAATAAGTATACCAAGATTTTAGAGAATTCCCCCCAATCTTTTTCAATATTCCACTTTTTTTTCCAGTCTCTGCTTCTCAGTGTGTGGCTTTCCAAGGAAAAAGATATTCTAGATGAACCACAGTCTATCTGCTGTCTTCACACTATGCTGTCCCTTCTCAGCAAAATGAGAGGTGAAACTCATATTCATAATCTTAAAATAACACCATTGGATAAAACTAGTGTTCGTGGCTGTCAGAAATGTGCCATTCTGGCAATCTGTACTGTGTTATATAAAATCATAAATGAAGCACACCTACCTAAAATTGCTTGAGTGCATTCTATAATAATCAAGTTAGACACGTTTAAAATTAGAATTCAAGATGGTGTGACTATAACGGTTTTCCTTTATAGTGATTGGAAGGTTGGAAATTTTGCCTTGGATCTATAGAAGCACTGAGATTTAAGGAACTTTTGTTCCAGTGTCAGTTTGAAGTGATTGATGTCTCTGGAGGGATTTTCTTTTAAAAGTGTACTAGCTGCACCCCCTGCTCACTACACTTGCCAATCCCCCCCTCTTGCAGATGGTAGGCAACCCTGATTTTCCCCCGGCCGCTGGGGAGGGCTGGGCCGGGCTGCGGCTGTGTCAGCCTGGGCCGGGCTGCGGCTGTGTCAGCCTGGGCCCTTTCTCCCTCCTCTGCCTGCCAGCCCAGGCCCCTCTTGTTCCTCTCCCCACTGCCTTGTGCCTCCCTGCCAGCCCTGGTCCCTTCTCCTTCTCTCCTCCCCTCCCCCCCCACCATCCTGGGCCCTTTCTCTCCCCTTACCCCCTGCCACCCAGGATCCTTTCTCTCTCTCCCTACCCCCCCCTCAATTCCGCACCATCCCAGGCCCCTTCTCCCTCCGCTACCACCAGCTGGGGCCCCTTCTCCTTTCTGCTTCCGCCAGCCAGGGTCCCCTCTCGCCCCCTGCCACGCCAGCCCAGGCTGCAGTATGCTCCCAGCCTGGCTCTCCACGTGGCTGCTGGAGAGTGCCAGGTTGGCAATGGGTGGGGCTTGACTCCAGGGATGGGGTTGGGAGCGGGGCTTTAACCCACCCCTGCCCTTGTCTTCCCCTCTTAGTCTGTGTGGTGCAGAGTGACGTGATGATGTGACTGTCATCCCACCGGAAAAATATTTGTGTATATGTGTGTGTGTGTAGATGTAGATGTAGAGGGAGGGAGGGACGGTGTGTAACTCGAAGTGTTCGTAACTCGGATCCCATAGAGTTACATGGCAACCGCACTGTTCATAAGCGCGGATCGCTGTTCGTAACTTGGATCCGCATTTACAACCGTTTTGGTCGTAAGTGGAGGTGGTCGTAACTCAGGGAGCGGCTGTATTTCTTTTAACCATCCCCCTTTTCAAACCATGTACTGTTCACTCTATAGCCACCACCTTGGCTTCTGAGGGAACTTGAGATTCTTCCCCCTCCCCCAAAAAATTCTTGATCCTGGGCCTGTTGGTGGTTTTTGTCCATACTTTTTAGTCCCCTCCTACTCAAGTGTTTCAGCATGCCTTTCTTCAGCACCAGAGCTGCAGCTACAACATCCATTTTGGGAACATTGCTCTGGTAGCATTCACTGACTGCACACCTCTACAACTTCTGTACAGCACCACACGAGAGTTACATTATCCACGAGGATACATTCGAACTGTACAGCAGACCTCAGTGCCTGGTGACTCCCTGTCATATTTGCAAACCCTCAACTTGGTGAAATCCTTGTAGCTCACATGCTGCATTTCATTATAAAGACTAATTGAGATTAGGAGTCTAAAATCCCATATATTTGGTTAACTGGCTTAATGTAATGTAAGGTGCTGCTCTAGTTGGCCTGGAGCGCCCCTCGGCTGCGGCAGGCACTGTGGGCTGGAGCAGCCCCTTGCCCACAGGGGCTCCAGCCCCCATTGGTTAACCAGAACTGGTAAGCCTCACCTGTTAAGAGTGAGGCTTACTAGTTAACTATTCACATCCATAGTTGAGATCTAGAAATTGTGTGTGAAATCTCAAAAGTTATCTTGATGGTTGTTACAGATTAATGGAACTAGTTCAGTGACAAATGCTTTATTTTACCACCTTATGTTTTAATAGTTAAAGGGAAATTCAGCTTCCAAAGTCAGATTGTTACTCTGCTGGTTTATCTCGTAACCCAGCCAGTTGATATCTTTCCCCCTTTGTTCCTACAGTTGCGATAGATGAGTCATGGGATTCTCAGTCAGTTTCCCCCTGGTGGCAGCAAATGCGCACAACCTGTATTCAGTCTGAAAATAATGGCGCTGCCTTATTATCAGCACACGTTGGGCACTCTGTAACTGCACAGATCGCTGACACTGTGGCAGAGAAAAAAGTAAGTAAAACTGAAACATTTGCCTCCCTCCAGCAATAACTGTATCAGTCTTGTAATGCTGCTCCCTTATGCGGAAAGAACATTGGGCCATTCCCTCACAAACCAGCACAAACCATGCAGTGCTCTGGAATAGGAGTTAAAGGAACAGATGCTTGGAAACTTGTGTTTGAACTTGCAAATGTACCTGCCCAGGTGTATGACTTGTGTCCCATAATAGTTTCAGATACCTATCTGGAGACACCTAGAATAAGTCAGTTTTGCGGGATCAAGAGAGACACTTAGCTGGAAGCCTGATTGTTTTAAAAACTTAACTTTTAAGTTATTTTGGCTGTATAGCCTGCCAATTTCTGACACTGTAACTATTTTAAAAATAATGTTAAAAAATTAAGTTTAATTTTAAAAAATCTATTTTATTTTAAAAAGTTCGTGATTATCTCAGTCTCCTTCCGTAATAGTGTTTGGATTCTTTAAGTGTAAAAAGCATGATCCTCTCTTCTTGTTTGAGAGAGGTCTTTTCAGCAAGAGAAAAAGTTGGCTATACAGGAGAAACCGTGAAATTGACTGAACACAAACTGCTGTCAAATGTCCAAAGGCTGAAATGCACTCCTGCAGAGGTCCAGCGTGAGATTTAGGCATCACTTCAGTTCCAGCTAGATGTGACTTAAGTAGGATATAGGCTTTGTAAATTCCACCTGAAGTCTATTAGAGGATGGGGAAGGGGAGAATAACTTTTTCTGATCTAAAAAACCAACAAATGTTCTGATAGCACTTAACAAAACATGTAGATGGGATCATGAGTTTCTGTGGGCTCAGCCCACTTCTTCAGATGATCCCATCTACATGTTTTGTTAATCTATAAAGTGCTACCAGACCACTTGTTGTTTTTTCCTGTAACAGACTAACTCGGCTACTTCTTGAAGCTTTTTTCTGATCTGTTAGAGTAGTAATTGCCTGTGTCAATTGAAATGGTGGGATAGAAATATTAAACATAAGCATGCTTTTTCTTGTGTCCCAATAATGTTGCTCTAATTCACCCATTGGTGCCATGGATTGTATTTATCCTGCACCCTTTTAATGCCACATACGTATTCTGTCCACTAATCCATCTTTGCCAAGATTTAGACTAATATTTCAAATGCGACCTTAACTGTCTGTCAGCCCCAATTTAAAAACAACAAAAATCTAATAACCACAAATGTTTTATTCTTTTTTCTCCAAAGTGGAATTTTTTTCCAAAAAATACAGCGATCTAAGTTCTAGTGAATAACTGACAGCTTTAGGGTCAAATATGTCATCATGACTCTACAGAGCTAGAAACTGGAACTTTTTGCACCATTGATTGCAGAAGGTATTTGCCGGTTCCTGGGGTTTCCAGTGCAAAACAAAACCTTGCTTGTAGACATGGAAGGCACAAATATACCACTTAACAAATCATGATGTTTTAACATAGAAAAAGATTAGAGCTATCTTTAGGGGAACATATGAAATGAAATGTTTTGGACTTGTGGGTTTAGTGGGAAGTTGCAGTGGTGGAAGTCTGTGTACTGCACATTTTATGTGGATACTTTTACGTGTATATATTTATTTAAGAAACGGTCAGACCTGTGAGCAAATTTGAATAGTGATTTACTTTTATATAACTGTTCATTCTCCACCTACAGCTAGTCTGTAAAAAGCTCACAAATAACCTGTTTTGTTAGTTTTCTCAAACCATGGTAGGTGCTGACACAGATTCCTGGGAAGCACTTTCCCTTGATACTGAATATTGGAAACTTCTTCTGAAACAATTAGAGGATTGTCTGATAATTCAGACACTGTTGCACAGTAAAGTGAGAGCAAGGACAACTAGAATATCATCTCTACAGGCTGAGCCACTCTCCAGACTCTCTGTAAAGAAATTACTTGAAGGAGGGAAAGGTAAACGCACTCTTGCAAAGCACATTTGATTAACTTACTCTCCTAACTCAGGGCAAGATGCTATTACCCTGACTCCAGTGAATGGCATCTTATTTTGGGAGTAGTCCCACTGGGCATGTGTTAATTATGTGTCACTTTTACTGTTTTAAAATAATTTTTCATTTCTTTTCTGGAGACTGCACTGTAGAGTTCTAACTACGTACCTGATTGAGATCTTGTAATTGACAGACTTACACCATTAATGGTTTCTTCCCTTGTCATCTATGTTTTAGATCCAAGTTTACTTCTACTAACTTGTAGCTGGCAAACGTTGACTGTGCCATATACTTTCCTTTTGCATCCTAGGAGGTATCGCTGACAGTGTAGCAAAATGGGTTTTCAAACAAGACTTCAGTCCCATGATACTAAAGCTGGCACAAGGGAAAGGAGAGACAGAAAGTACAGAGGAACCTGTAGAAATTGACAAGAATGTTTCCCTTGAGAAACCAGGAGCAGAGACAGGCCTGGGAACAATCTTAGGTACAATCACAAAATAACCCAGTTTCAAACTTGAATTTCTTCAGAGGGGACTGTGGTGTTTGAATTGTTTTGTTAATTAGTAGAAATTGTGAATAGAATGAAAAAAATTATCTGTAACTTTCTCAATTGTGTTTTAGAGTTGTTGCATTTAGCATACCAGCAGTTTCCTTGTAGTCTTGAATTGGACATACTACACACGCATTGTTGTTGGGAATATGTAGTGCAATGGAATAAAGATCCAGAGGTAACGTAATCTAAATATTTCATATAGTTAGGGATGCTTTACTTGTGTATAATTTACTAATTGAAGCCAAACTTTAAAAAAGGGAAATTATTAATAATAACAATAATAATAATAAAAAGACTGTGATAGATGGGAAGCACAAATCTGAATAAGGAAGAAAAGAGAATCTTAAATGCGAAGAGTATGAGATACCATCCACCAAGACAGGAAGATCTGTTCATGTCAGACAAAAAGACAGTGTCAGTCTTACTGGGAAAAAATGAAGTTCTTCAGATGTCATTATTTCTGGTTTGAAATATTGGACAGCTCACAAATACAAAACACTGATCTGGTTAGAATTACTTTAGTGCACTATTTTCCCTCAGCTTTCAGTGTATGATAAAGAAGACTGTGCCTTTAAGAAATTTCTTTAAAAGGGAATGGAAATAATACTTTCATACAATCGGGCCTTCTTTCATGTGGGTGAATAGCAATGGGTGCCTGATGTATGGTTTTCAAAAGTGGCGAGGAGTCCTGTGGCACCTTATAGACTAACTGAAGTGTAGGAGCATAAGCTTTCGTGGGCAAAGACCCACTTGCATCTGACGAAGTGGGTCTTTGCCCACGAAAGCTTATGCTCCTACACTTCAGTTAGTCTATAAGGTGCCACAGGACTCCTCGCCGCTTTTGCATATTCAGACTAACACGGCTACCCCTCTGATACTTGACACCATCCAAGATTTTCAAAAGGCTATCCAGCAACTATTAAGAACTGTGGAGGCTGGAAATTGGTAGCCACATGCTTTTATTCCCCACTCTCAACTTCACTAGTGTTTGTAACCATTCCCTTAAATTCTGATTGTGGGAGGGTTCTGATCATCCAGGGTTCAGCACCTCCTAGACTCAGGAAATCTGTGCTATAGGGCACCTCACTGCAGAGTAAAGCTTCATCTTTCTCTGATTTTTTTAAAGATGTACCAAAAATAAGACAGACAATGGTGAAGTGCTTTCTAAACACAATTTTATTTTTATCTGCAAGGTAAACCATCAATAGCAAGAAATGTCCTCAGCATCTAAACTAAAACACACTCCGGAAAATCACCTTAGAATCAAAAAGTGTTCAGTGACACTAGCTTAGTTGGCATTGATGTGTATGGGCATTTGCATGATGGTAAGAGAGGAAATTAAAATCTTCTAAGAAAAGAAACCCTAAAATATTCTTTAACTAGAAAATTAGTGTCTTGAAAACAATCTGTATTAACTTTTTTTAAGCATTCGCAATTTGTATTTGAGTTGCCATTCAGTAATGTGTTTGGCTTTTTTTTATTCTTCTTTCCCCTTTATAAAAGGAAGCACGTTTTCTTACTAGATCTGTAGACCACCTCAGATGCATTGTTAATGCCCACATACAGCATGGTAAGTACAATACTATTGTTAAAAAATATCTTTGATAAAATTTCAGGAGAGTAAAATAAAACAGACATAGAAAAGTATAGTTGGCTGTGCTGGTCACACACCTCTGCCTAAATCAAGGACCTAAAAACCAAGTCCTTCTTTGACATAACGTGATTTGGTCATGTCCACACGCATTTGCTAAATTGTTGAAAACCAGCTGAAGTGGACTCATGGTCAAACACATACATATAGAATGAGAGAAATACACCCTCCAGCAAACTAGTCCAATTCCATTAATCACACAGGGCCTGTCCTTAATATTGGGTTTACTCTTTATCATAGAGCATAGTCCTGTTCTAGGACACTTCACTGCTTTTAAGCACAATACAGTATATGACTAAAGCTGTGGTTCTCGAAGTTCAGTCTGCAGTCCACTACTGCCTTGTAGGTAGGCCGCAGGCTCTGGGCTCGCCCCCCTGCAGCGGTGAGCTCGCGCTGCCGATCCAGCATTGCCGCCTCCTGAGTGACTAGAGTGCCAGTGCTGGCTTCCTGTTTTGAGTGTGTGTTTGTAGGACGAGCCTTGTGGGCCAGATCTGGCTTGCAGGGGAAGGAAGCGGCTCTGTGCGTTGCTGCTCCTCCCTGCCTCATGCTGCGGGAACAGCAGCACAAGGAACTGCTTGCCTGGAGTCTTTCCCCACTGCTCCTATTGGCCAGAATCACGGCCAATGGGAGTGGTGGGATGTGCGGAGGTGGGTAAGCACCCCTCATATCCAGACCTCTCAGCTTCATCGCCCTCGCTCACATAGCCTCCTACTGAGACCCAGCAACCCCCACCCTACCCTCAACCTGCTCTTCCATCCAACCTCCCAAGCAAATGCCTACCCATAGCCTATTCCTGCACTTTGCACTCCCATCCTGCTCCCTGGCAGCCCATTTCACATACTCCCTTTGGCCCCACTCCAGAGTCTAGGGGAACCTAAAAATAGCCCTGGGGTGCCAGTTGTTTATGCCCCCTTATGTTATAGCTTCATATTTATGCTCCAGTAGCTTAATATGAATAATGTAGTATTTAAAGTATTTAGAGATAAGCAAAGCCATTTTGTCACCATGAGTGGTTTGCTGGTGGTCCATAGAAAGCTTTGTGTGGGCCAAAAAGTTTGAAAACTACTGAACTAAAGCATTAGTGATAAACTATTACACGCTGTTCAGCGCCGGACTTGCTACATATGTCTAAGTGTTCCTTTAACCACAGTGCGCATTTTTAATGCATTAACCATAGATGTAATGTCTCTCTCTGGGCACCAAAGCAATCCTGTACTTCTGAAATTGAAACTAGGATCTTATCCTGGTTGCTTTATAATTAGACTGATTTGACATCTGCCTCCCTTTGCAAGCTCCTTTTCTTGATTCTCCACTACTAAAGGGAACTTCCGGGCCCACGCATCTCTGTGTTTTGAACTATTGTGCTTTGGCATCGGATGCTGTCTCAAGGGAATGCAAATCTGTACAGCAAAGTCTGATTTATCCTTTTGTTGGAGACAGATTAACTTATGTCTCGAAGTACTGTTTCATCTGTTGTGTTGTACCATTAATTTTTAAAACAGTCTTCTCTCTTCTGCAATAACTTTCACTGTATGGGTTTACATTAACCCTGTTTTTGATGTTCCATTCGGATGGAGTTTAATTTCTGTAATTGTTTTAGGTATTGCTCTAATGATGTGGAATACATTTTTAGTAAAAAGGCTCTCTGCTGCTACGTACTTAATGGACAAGGTAAGCATGCTATCATGGCTGTTCATTTTAAGTTCGGTTCTTATTGATTTTATTTTTTATTTGCAGAGAAATTAAGCTGTCAGGTGTTTAAAACATTGGTTTTTGTGTTTGTGGAACATAATCAATTTGATTGTAGAGAGAAACTATGCTGTTTGGGTGGTTTCATAATATTTTTTAAAAGCGTATAGTGGGAAATGATTACTTTTAAAAATATAACATTTGTTTAATCTTTTGGAATAATCTCTTACTGTAAGTTTTAATAAGCAGTTGAAGTTGGCAGATATTTCCACACATCAGTGCTGAGTGTACACTTAATCTTTTTCTCACTTGACACTAGTTTGAAAATACTCGATTGGTGAATTCTAAAAAGTTCCCTTTGGCAATAAAATGCAAGTCTTAAAAACCCCTACCAATTATTTTCATTTAAGGAACATAAATGTTCCATTCTCACATTATCTATCCAGTACATTTTATTGACCTGGTAACTAATAAATTAGCTTAATAGATAATACAAGAATCCTATTTTTTCTATGCATTGCTGTACCTGCACTTGATGTTTTTTTACCAGGAAACCTTCATTAAGACCATGCAGGAGAAAGTTATTTAAACATCTTGAAAATAACGTACATGTTCACTCTCATTTATTTGCCATCTAAAAAAATCAGACAGTGTGGAAAACTTCATCCTGCAAGGAAGTTCATGCCAAAAAGCTTTGCTTGTTAAAAATATACAATATACAAAATAGCTGAGAAGCAGTTTTTACTATAGCCTGTATCCAGTCAGTTTTTAATTAAGATATACAGTATATTGTATTGAGATGTGCAGTAAATATTTTCTGTTGTATAAGGAAAATAAGTTACTAACATTAAGTCAATATTTAAACAAATAGAATGTTCATATGTCACTTACAGTGGAAATTCGTTCTATAACAGGTTGGAAAAGCTCCAAAGGACAGATTATGCAGACGGGCAAGTAATACTATTTATCTAAAGATGACAAGGAATTTAGAAATACAATTACATTTTGTTTCAATGGTCATTAAATCTGTTTTTCATGGTTTTAATATGACAATGCATAAAGGGATCTTGGTAGGAGAAATTAAAATAAATATTGATTAATTTTAGCCAGTTTGATAAATCAAAGTTGAAAGGTCTAGTAAAAAACTAGTAAAAATGTTATAGAAAATGAACTTGAGACTGAAATTTCCCTGGCTAACATTTTGTTGATATAAGTTTATCAGCTGTGTACAAGGGATAATAGTGTGTTTGTTTTTGAGGAATATAGCTACTTGCTAGAACAATGCAGTAAGTGGAGAGAATAAGCAACTTTTATAATCAAGACTTTTTCCAGATGTTGCAAAGCTTTTTTGAAGTTCTCAGATGCTACTTTTGTCTGTTATATCCAAATATTTGTGTTACAACTATTTGGCCTTAAACATAATGACATGATGAAACTTCAATAAGTGATGGTGCTTGCAAAATCTTCCCCCTCAGAAATGTGAACAGTGCTGTTAGAGACCCTCCGAGATTATTGGTTGCAATTAAAATGTTTTCAAGTGCATCCAAGTAAAATCATACTGAAGAGATTTATTCTGTCTTTGTTTAATAGGATGTAGGTATGGGTGATGCTGCAATGACATCTTTTGTTGGCTCATGTTCAGATCTTCTTCAAACCTTAATGGAGGTAAGAGATCTTTGATTTAAAAAAATACATACATAAGAATGGTTCTAGTAGTAAGTTTTTGCCATGAAAATGGAAGGCAACACTGATAATATAGAAACTTTCAGGACTTCATTAGTCAATATGCGGGGGTTTTTTCTATTGAACGTGGGACTGTTGTCCTTTTTTAAAAAAAAAAACTTTTGCAGGAGAAATTGTGCTTTGTAATGTAACTCCTGTTTTTTTGATCTTACTGATCAGTAGCATAACCTTTTTTTTTTTTTTTTTTTTTTTTAATAAACACTAATTGCTCTGCATTGCTGTCCTAGGCTGATGTTAGTAGTGATGAAATGCAAGCTCCAGTTTTGGACACAGAAGATGCCTGGGTGTCAGCTGAAGGACCAATCTCAATAGTAGAACTAGCCCTGGATCAGAAACACATCCACTACCCACTTGTCGAACACCAGTCAGTGTTGTGTACTATATTATATGCAATCATGAGGTTTTCTCTGAAAAGTGTGAAACCTCTCTCGCTATTTGACAGTAAGGTAGGTCTTTTTAAAGGTGTTATGAATACATATATTATAATGAAATGCTGTTCTTGATGCTGCTAGTTGACAAGCATGCATTTTTTATCATTAATAGCTAATTCAACACAGTATATGGATTGATGTCATGTCAAAGATAATTGTCACCAATATTTAGTAAAGTAGAAATGTGCTTACTCCTGAATAGTGGTTGAGAAGTGTCAGTCAGCTCCCTCCTTTAGTCTGTTATAGCATGTTCAAAAGCTTCAGAGGGGTAGCTGAGGTAGTTACAAGATCTGTTGTTTTTTAAGTTTTTCCTGTTCTAGCATGGTGAGAGAGCTATAAAATCATTTGAGAGCTATAAAAGCTCAGAGAAATTATGAATAGACTATGATAATGAAATACAAGATTTGTCACACCCTGCATCAATTATTCCTGAAGATTAATGCCATACTTCTTTCTCTGGAATGGACAAATAGCTATCGCCTTAACAGTAAGAAGAAACCGATTAAAAATAAATAAGCTTCAGAGGGGTAGCCAAATTAGACTGTAACTAGAAAAACTTAAACAACAAATAGTCTAGTAGTACCTTGAAGACTAACAAAACATGTAGATAGTGGTATGAGTTTTTGTGGGCATAACCCAATTCTTCAGATGACACATCTGGAAAAACTGGGTTGTGCCCATGAGAGCTCATGATACCATCTACATGCTTTTTAGTCTCTAAGGTGCTGCACATCTATTTGTTTTTTTGTTTTTTTTAAATAGTTGATATATTTAAAATGGAATCTGTTGTTGCTCCCAAAGTCCTAAAACTGATGCAGAGAAAATGTTATATATTTGAGCTGCTTTCCTTTCAGATGAGGTGCATGCACTTCGTGAATTTTAGACATAAAGGGCTGGTGTAGACTATTGTAAACCTATCCTCCTGGGAAGCAGTTCTGTGCAGAAGTGTCATATTACATATTTCTCCTTAAAGCTGCTTTTATAAAAAATATCTCAAAACAAAATACCTTTTTATTTGTATTTTGCTATTGATTTTTGTCTACATGTAGTCCGCATTCAGCACTTTGTACCTTGCATGCATGCTTATGTACCATTGACTGTCAGTAAAGGGTGTGTGTTACCTCTTTTTTAGGGGGGAGGTGTTACATAAAGCACCTTTCTCCTTCTCTCAAAAATCTCTCTAACTCTGCAAATCAAATCATTTTCCAGAATAGAGTAAAAAAAAGTGCTTCTTTGCCTTTGTTTATGGTTGTCACGGTCCCTTGCCTTTTATCTTTGTCTCAGTCTCTGAAGGTTCCCCAGTGTTCTATAAGCTGCATGCGAGAACTTCTTGAAAGATCCTTAGGGAATCTTGGCTGACGGTTGATAATACTTGAGTATATAAATATTTCAGATGCCACTAACAGGGCAAATCTTCCAAACCCTTTATGTATTTCTTCTTGTTGGTGTATAGAAGTGCACACCTGAACTGCCAGCATTCGTGTTTAACATGTGCCTTTTTGCACCAGCTTCAGTATCTAACATATGAGTGGAGCAGGACAACTCTGCATGTTTAAGTATTGAATGTCACCCTTCCAGTACCAGGTGATGAAAGAAGGCCCCCTTCAGTACAGTATTATTCCGAACATAGATGCCTTTACTTCCTTTTAGCAAGGCTGTGTGTTTTCTTGTCTGTTCAGTATGGCAGTACACAGGACAATGGTTAATGTCAACCTATTTTATTACTGTGCATGCAATTTAAGGGCCACTCAGTGAGCCTTGAAACTTAAAAACAAACACACAGGCTTCCACATACATTACTTTTTAAAAGACTGTGTGAAATACCTCCTACCACAGTCATATTTGACATGTCAGTCTACAATAGCACTTACGGTCTGAAACCAATGCTAGTGGCTTTAAAAACCCTTTATTTCCTTATATAATTATAGCTCCATTTGGTTAACTGTAACAGACTGAGAACCCTTACTATTGAAATTAATAGCTTAACCTTTAAGTTTGAATGCCAGCTGAAGTAATTAAAAAAAAACAACCCTTAGAAACATTAGTAAAACACGCGATTACTTAAGCAAATGTTTGTTTCATAGCTGTTCAGTAATTTAAAATACTACATTTCTCTTTGGGATTGGACACTAAGATGCAATAACATTTAATTGGGGGAAAGTATTTAGTATCCCTTCAAGTGCTTGATCAAAATGGATCTTACTTTGAGTGAGGAGGACAGGAAAAAGGAATACAGTATGGGTTTTTTTTGTTCTCAATTTAGGGCAAAAATGCATTTTTCAAAGACCTGACTTCAATTCAATTGCTGCCCAGCGGAGATATGGATCCAAATATATTATCCATACGCCAACAAGTGAGTTTAAATCCTTTCCACTGACACAAGCAAAGTATAGACCATTAGAGGAGTTTCTGGTAAAATTAAACTGCTGCTAATTCATTTTGGTGTTTGCTTCCAAGTTCCTAATGAAAGCTGTGAGTGCAGTGGTACAAGTACAAAGCTCAGCACAAAAAGCCAGGCATCTCCCAGAAGAGGCATCATTTCCTTCTGAAAAAGACAAGGATTGGCCTGCTTTGGCTATGGATTTGGCTCAGCACCTTCAGGTCAATGAGGATGTGATCAAAAGGCATTATGTATGTGAACTGTATAATTATGGAATGGATCATCTTGGAGAAGAGGTAATGAAAGATGAAAGTGCATCAGCAGCTGAGTTGCTCTGCCTCATGATTTTGATTAACTAGGTCTTTCTGATTACTATTTTCCCTATGTTTTACGAACAGCTTTTCCTTGGCTTGTGCTCCTCCAGCAACAGAAAACATAACCACATTCTAACACTTAGTTGGAGGGGGTGGGGTGTGAAGAATTTACCCCTTGCTGTGATGGGATTAGCATTGCAGAATAAAACTAACCATAGTAAATCATTGCTAGTTGTCTAGTTGAACTAAGCTCTGAGGTTTGAGACAAGAATTCATCTTTGTCAACAGTTAAAAATGTAGCAGTTCAAAGTACTCCACTTCCTTAACTCAAACTTTAGTGTCAAATTTACTTAGACAAGTTGTCACAGAAAAACAGTTTGAAAATTCATTACTCTGTACATTCATTAAATCTTTGTACTGTGTTTAGGATGGAGATACTTCTGTTCTGTGGTCCCAATAATCGGAGAGAGAGTGGAATTTCTAGTTGGTGCTTCTTAGAGTCAGCGTAGTGTCTTAACAGAAACACAGCCTCTGAACTATCAATATCTGGAATTGCCAAACTGCATGTTGCTTAGTTTTTGCTTTCATTAGATGGAAGAAACAAACATGCAAAGGTGACACTGAATAAGTAAATGATTTTTAAAGAGCCTGGAAAATAAAATTCAGGTGTCTGTAATAATATGCCTGCACATACATCACTAGAGCTCTAATCAGATTTCATTAGGGCAAGTCGAAAAAGGCTTTTTCTTCATCTAGCATTAGACACAGTTTTTCATGCAAAGGGGATGTGAACTCACATTTCAAGAACTGTAAGAGAATCCTATTGAGCCTTAAAGACTCACTGCATCTACAGTGTAGGACTTGGCCAAAACTGTGGCTTTATTCTACAACTCTGTCAATAGCCAACCAATAATAGCCCAGTTTCAAATTCCTTCATTTGTTGGGTGGTTTGTCCTTGTATGTACTGAAGGGAAGGGCTGAAGCAAGATAAGAGTTTCTAAAATAAGTAATATCTAATCTTGTACACTTTTACGATGAGTTTTTTTGCTATATGCTTATTCCCAGGCCATTCTTCAAGTACATGACAAAGAAGTGCTTGCATCACAGCTGCTTGTGCTGACAGGACAGAGACTGGCCTATGCTTTACTACACACACAAACGAAAGAAGGCATGGAGCTGCTGGCCAGGCTTCCTCCAACCCTGTGTACCTGGCTTAAAGCTATGGTAAGTTCAGCCTGAGAAAACACATTTAGCAGAAGGCTTCCGCTTGGTCAAAGATTTTTATTTAAAAATGATCATTTTTAGTAATGCTCTGGTGTAAAGTAGAAGTGCAGGCTTACCTGACTTTATTTCTTGGTAACAGGAGTAAGACAGCTCAGCATGATCAACTATCTGGTCATCTCTACTCCACTATAAAATTTCTAATGTTAGATCTGTATAAGTCTAGACATATCAGAAAATTAGCATGCCTTTTTCCGATGGGCCAAATTTCAGAAATTTGGAAGATCCCTTCTTCCTTGTGGAAGGAGGAAGACAGGGCTTCTGAAAAAGCATGTCTGTGCCCAAAAAAAGAAAGCAGCAAAGCAGCTGTGTTCCCTGGATGCTATAGAGTTCTTCCAGGATACCTCTGGTATCCTGGAAAAAACCTGTAGTGTAGACATGGCCTAAAAAGCCACCCTGTTCGAGGTTGCATATACTCAAACGCTTCAGAGGGTTAGGGGACTGAATTGTTCAAGTAAGTGTAAAACATTGCAAATTTGCTGCTCATGAGAACAAGAGGTGTGGGAGCACGCATGTTTCTTTCTAAAAGATTAAACAATGTATTTGTACTTTTATGGCTGGTCACTGTGCCTTGGAAAACATGACATCATACAGTGAAGCAGTTCCCGGGATTTAAAACACACATATAATTGTTGGCAATATGTTCAAACAGCTTCTATTTGATCTTCCTTGGAGAAGACTATATGCTAAATCTGTGAAACTAACTATTAAATAAGCTTGTGGAATGAATCATCTTTCAGAACCACCAAATCTGGTTTTCTGCTGTGCATGGGTGAGTGCCGTTGTCACAATGCAATCTGAGAAGCATTACTAACAGTATATCAGTGCTGTGGAGGAAAGACTTAAGTCTTCCTGAACAGCCTTTCCTGTGTGAGTGCTTCTGTAAGTTTGGAGGTACACATTTGTACTTATAAGCAAACTTCCTTGCAGCAAAAAGAATCACAGGGTTTTCTATACGCTTTCCTTCTACTACTACTCTTAACGATTTAAAAATCTTTTGTAGGACCCTCACGATCTTCAAAACAGAGAAGTGCCCATTGCAACAACAGCGAAACTAGTGAACAAAGTAATAGAGCATTTACCAGAAAACCATGGGCAATACAGCCTTGCTTTGCATCTGATAGAGGCTGTAGAAGCAATCTCTTCTTGACAATGTACATACTAAACACTTCTGCTGCAAAATGAGGTCATGCATGATTTTATACACTAAGGGTCACCTTTATAAAAGGAATTCATGTGGCTTTTGTAAAATAAACTTAATTCAGAAACAACTGCTTTTACAATGGAGTCCATCTAAGTTCCATACTATTGTGCATAATATACGAGGAGCTAGTAATCTTTGTACATCTGTCAACTTGTGTTCCACTATTTATTTCTAGTTCAAGCACCTGTGCTCCATTTTAGATGGTTATATTTAACAGCAATTTTATTCCACATTTACATGTGAGATTCTATATTTCATACTCTGAAGAAACATTACATGTATTTTCCATTTATGCTTGATTTTTGAACAAGCAGCAGTTGCATAAATCTATCATGTAAAGAAAAATATTAGGCTATCATGTCTTGTTTTACTCCATCAAAGAGATCTTCATTCTGCAGGGTCCCTAATACTTAACCTTCAGGGGAGCCAGTGCTGATGCAGAAGTTCTCTTCCTGTAACAGCTGTATAGGAAGCAGGACAAAATAGCTTTGTATTTTCACACAAACAGCATCCTTAATGGGGATGAAATGAGAGAGGAACCTCCCCCATCAAAGTTCAACTCTTAGAGAAGAATACACTTAAAATGATCAGTGTTGAAACAAACCTCTCTGTATATCTGTGGCTGCATGCCCCACACAAGATTGGCACATAAGTTTCCTAGTGCAGCTGTTATGGAAATCCTGGTGAAGTTAGGACTGCAGGAGCAAGCTTCTGGACTTCTTACCAGAAAAATCATGTAAAACTGATGTATTAATAGAGCAATGCCATGGGATAATGCATCCTGTGGGGAGCACGAGTGTGTTATACATTAAAATCACATTGTTAAAATGCGAGGGAACTTCTAGAATACACCTGCAGGGTCTACACAGACTAATAAATGTGCATTATTGCCCATGTTGAGCTGAAGATCTGTAATACAGAAGGCTTGAGCTTTATAAAATCGTGTGTGTTCTACATAGGACAGTGCCAACGGATAGCTATATTTTGCAGCCAGAATCTCTTAAGTATTGGGTGATATTTAAGCCATCAGAAGCAGACCATTTTATCATACTGCAGTTAAGTATCCATGTTGTACTCGGCTGTATGTTTCCTGTGAAAGTTAGAACTGGAAGAATAATGGTCACCAATCCCATTCTTGTCTTGAGCCTGTACAAGTTATAATGGAAACACCTAGCTGACTCTTGCAACTTGCACTTATCTGCAATTGTTAACTATACACACAAAGCTCATAAATCTACCTTTTTTAGATAAGTTTTTGGTGATAATAGGATATAGGATTCAGCAACCCACTTCAGTAATGATTATCTTCTCTGAGTTATTCCCTGCTGACAGCAGCAAACTATAAATTTTCATAGGAGCTAGGACTGTCACACCACAAGAAGGGTTTATTTGAAATAAACTATCTGTCTGAGGTTTGCTTATTCAGTATTCTTAGCTATGAACTTACAGAAATCAGTGTGCAATGCTACATCACTTTTTGTAATATGGAAGGTTTTTTAAAACAATTCCATTTTGCATTTAAAAGAATGTTGCTACAATTATTTTATACCTACTATTGCTCTGAGATTATGGCTACCATGAAAGCAAATAACTAATCTGCCAATGTTATGTTTCAGAACACTAACATGTTACATATAGGCAAGAGACAGATGGATGTTTGAGATGTTACAGGTTACTCCAGGCCTTGTTGTCTAATGCCTTGTCTAGAATGCACTTCAACATACTGTAGATAGTAATGGATTTTGAGGGCCTACTGTCCACTATGAAACCTGCTTTAGCTAACACATTTAGGGCTGTTTCTTGTATCCATTAAATTCCTTTATGCTACCAGCACAGCATAAAGGAACTTAGTGTAATTGAGAATCAAGGCCAAAGAGGTTATATGAAACACTTTACACCAAACCTGTAATGTATTGTAAGTAATAAGATTATGTATATACTGCTATTTTCTGTCACTTGCTGTGGATCTGTGTAAATCAAATAAACTTAGGATTTGATTCTAGTTTTTTTTTCCATTCATTGGCATGCAGACCAGAGTCATGATGTATAGTTTTTTCAGCATACATAAATGGTTTAGCTGAACTACATACAGTCACAGTTTAGACTGTACTATCAACCAGTATTAACATAACTTAATGCTAGTGATCCTCTCTTCTACAATGCACATAGAAGTTGTATCTTTTCCGAAAACAGATTGCACTTACCTTAGACTAACTGACATTGAGAGATGCTTATAGCCCAAGACTGTTCAAAGAACAGCACTCTGGTTTGAAGAACAGCTTTTATTAAGTGTAAAGTTGATATAAACAAGCATTTTGAAAGTTTTTTCCACTACTGTAGTTCTGCTCAGATTAAGGCATAAAATGCATTGCCCAAGACCAGCTATAGCTTTCTTCAGCATACATTGAGTTTTCTTTTAATTCTGCAGTTATTTTGTAGTTGGGGTTCCATTTGGTTAATGAAGCATTGAATTTGCCATCTTTACATATTTTACAGCTCAAGTGGAAATATCTACATATTTGTCCAGCTCTTGTCTTGCTGCTTTAACCTTTAAGCACTCCATTTCCCAGCAATGACTTCTGTGCAGCGCGGACACAGTGAGAGCAGAGAATCAGCAGTGTACTTCCTACAACGAAGGCATTTTGCTTTAGCAGCTGGAAGCACTATAACTTTATAAGATGACTCTTCACGAATATCGCCACCTGTCAAAGAAAATATTACTGTATGATGTACGCAGCCTCCCTCTAACTGTATTTAGGGGTTTATAATTTCTCTATTCCCTTCTATAAAACAAAAGCTAAACCCCATGACGAAACTTTGACTAGAATCCTAAATGCAGGTGAAAGACCAAGAAAAACTGCAGTGTGCATCCTGGGGCTGATATTGCTCAGCTTTTGGTAATAGAAACAATCTCGGGTAAATTTCTACACAGCAAATATGGCTGACGCTGTTTTGTTCCGTTAGTCCCATTTTCTTACCTTCTAAGTTGATCAAAAACGTCCCTTTAATGATCTTTTCATCAGTGGCCATTTCTATAGGTAGTTCAGACAGTAGAGTTGTTTGTGAAGCCATCATGATTTCATTTAACTGAGAGACACTGGAAGATTCCTCAGACTGCAGGGCCTAGAAAGAACAATTTGCTTTTTGAACTTAAATAGCTTAAGCTTTTGCAACAAATGCACGTAACAACGCAGCCAGGGGTTTGCACACATTATTAAGAGGCTCTGCAAGCCTGCTGACTTAGGACCAGAGTTGAGCAGTTAGATGCACGACATGTTGACAGCAAGAGTCATGTCTCCAGCTGCTGGAGTCAGTCCTACTGCCAGCAATACCATGACTATATTCTGACAGCTCCCACAGTGAGGACAGGGGCATAAAACAAGCTTCCAAAAGGGTTACCAGACTGATATCCCCGGAAACATCTCACCGGTATCATTTCAAACTTCAAAGCACCTGCCTCAATGCCTTGGGCCCTAGCACAGGTGAAGCCTTTGCATTTTAAAGGCTCAGTTTCAGGCATAGTAGTAATTCCCAGGTCTGACAACAAAGTGGCTGGGGATGGAAGGTGGACAGGCAAAGGGACAGTTACAACAGGCCCTTTAAATTGCCACCAGAATGCGGCACCCTCTGTGTGGTTCCTAGGGAGGGGGGTGCACCACACTCTGGGTAAGCTGCTTTCAGGAGCACGGAGCCTAGCCCCTCCCAATCCACCTTGCCTGCGGAGGCTGGTGGCGTCTTAGTGACACATTCATTAGCAACTAGATTGCAACAATCACCAAGTTGTTTCGTATAGGCTTGGCGCTGACTTAGGCACTCAGTGGACCAAGGAATTAGAAGGTCCAAAATTCCATAATCTATTCTTCCTGTATCATCTCCTCCTGTACTGAGCTGGAAGCCAATAGGGAAGCGTGAGGCCCAGAGAGATGCCCACCTCGTACCTGCAGGGCGCAATGCTGAAGGAACTCTGAGGTTGCCTACCAGATCAAACCCCCACACAACAGCTGAGGTGATAGCAGTGGAAATGGAGTGCTACCTTCACCCCTACTTTTACCCAACAGCCAGTGCTAAGAGCAGCCATCTGGGACAGGAGATCACCCAGGTGCCAGGCAAGTACCCTCACCCCAGGCTAGTGCGCAGCTGTTTCATTGTGTGTGAAATACATGAACATTTGCTGAGCAAGACAAAATGATGCTATAGCCATGGTGTCCAACATGCTAACCACATGTGGCTAGTTGGCTTGAACAACATGGCTGTTTGGCTGGTTGAGTGGGGCTAGTTGGCTGTAGCATAAGCTACTAAAGCAGCTGCTACTACAGAACTAGGTGGACACCACTGTCTTAGAGCATTCACTCAACTTGAGCCTCTCAAATTGCTGCTCCAAGGCAGAGGGAAGATTGGGAGCCAGGTATCCCACATCCCAGGTGAGTGCGCTAACAAGGGAGGGAACCTAGGCACCTGACTCCAGGAGAGGGCTTCCCACTGCAAATCCCAAATGATGATTGGCATCTAATTCCTCCTGCGAGTGGGGCTTAGGCTTGTGGTCTTCGGAGCCACCTCACTCTCCTGTACATTGTACAAAGTGCCTAGACTCCTGTCTTGGGGCTATGGATTCCACTAGATCTCAGGGCACCTCCTTGCTAAGCACTGCATCCCTGACTAGCAGTCTCTTGCAGAGGTCTAGCCCTAAGTGCTCAAGTAGCTTAGAAGAAGTTATTTTTTCTAGTACAATAACTGGGAGGACGTTTTTTGTTTTTACCTCCATTAACTCAAAGAGCAGCCCAGGCTCAATTACAATGACCACCTCGTGCTCCAAAGCATTCTTGCCAGCAATGGATCCAAGGAAAGAATCTCTCATCGCACATGCAGCCTCTACCACTTCTTCTAGGCCAGGTTTCTTCCACACTGAGCTTGTGGTAATCCAGCCGGAACGAAACACACACTCTGATTCTTGAAACAAAATTAAACATGTTTAATGCATCGGTGTTTTTGTGGTCTCTGCTGCCTTACCATAAATCTCTGCCTCTAATTTCTTTACATATTTCATATAAAGGAACGCTGGGACCTTTTATCTGCAAGGATAAAAACCACAGATTTTCTTAAAAATGCAAACTTGTCAATAGTTACTGTTCGAGTACAAGTCCTATGAAATGTTAGTGTCTGGATTTTGTGGCAGAGTTGTATATGCGTTACCTTTCTTGTATGGGAGATACTGGAAAACCTCCTCTGCCAGATGAGGAAGGATTGGAGCAAATGATCGCACCACTACATCCAAAGCCTCTGCTAAGGCTGTTTGACATGAACGACGTTTAGGATCTTTTTCTTCTTCACAGTAAAGCCTGTAAGTCACAAGAGGTGAGAGTTTGTGACATTGCTTGCAGAAAGGAAAAAGAGTTCAGCCAGATAAACAAGACATGGAATTTTAAACAGTAAGTGGCGAGATTTTCACAAGAGATGAAGATGTTGGGTGGTTGGCATCTCGCCACTTAATTTAGGTAAAATGTGCTTCCTTGACAAGTTTGGCTCCTATTCTTCTTCTATGAGAAAACAATTTGGCAATTACATTCAACAGACATGAATGTCTACTAACACTGGAGATATTAAACTTACTTTCCTCTCAAAGCACCAGGCTGCATTTTACTGAAAGGGAATGAGATCCTTGTATAATATGTAAAGCACTTTGGTATCTATTCCTAGGGAAGACCTAAAATGAAAGGTGATTATGCTATTCTCATTTAAGGGGACCTGTTCTGCATCTTCCACTAAGCACTTACCTTTGTGCTCCTCTCCTTTTAAATGGAACATGATTGGCTTTTACTTGCCATAATTTAGAAAGAGAGCAGCACACTGGTGTGGCCAGATATGCAACTGCATCTTCTATAGCTCAGAGCCACATACCCGTTTGTACGGTCACACCCCTTTGGAGAACTGAGTGGGTTTCATAACAATTTTGGTGGAATCTTTGTTGACTACACCCATCAGTATGCTGGTATTGTCCTTCGTTCATTTTAAGAAACTAATGAGGGCAACTATTGCTCCCCCAGCACTAATACTAAATAGGTTTTATGTAGGTTTTTCAATATCGACTTAAGGGCCTAACTTTAAGCCATCGTTTATTTTTTTAAATATATTTTTTAAAATGTAAGTTACTGTGTCCTGCTTTTACAAAAGTTATGGGTTTCAAAGGACTGTTTAAAGAGGTTTCCTGTCACTACCTTGCCTTTTTAACTAGCTTTCGTAGCCAAAAGTTGTGTGTGTGTATAGAAGCAGTGACCCCTCAAAGGGCTTCAGTGTTTTGAGTCCCCAGGAGAGAGAGTCTATACCCAGCCTGAACTAGCATAAAAAGTCTGAGAGAAAAAACTCCCACACAAAGAAAAAAATATTTTGGAGAAATCTGAGATTAAGGATCAGGAAGTATGACACCCCTGGAAAACCTGGGACAGATGTAGCAAAAGCGACTACTGGAAAATCTGGAGCTTTTCAGTTCTTGCACAATACTAGCTTGCCCTCCTAGCACTTTAAAGACTAACAAAATAGTTTATTAGGTGATGAGCTTTCGTGATCTGAAGAAGTGGGTCTGTCCCCCCGAAAGCTCATCACCTAATAAATTGTTTTGGTAGTCTTTAAAGTGCTACATGACTGCTGTTTTTTTTTTTTTTTAAACAAAACCTATTATCATAGTTCCCTCTACGGTGCACGGCTGCCCACAAACAATTCTAGGCCCAGCCGCCTCCTTTCCTACTGGAAGGTATGTTGTGTGGTGGTGGGTTCCTGGCTCAATGAAATGCATGCCAGGCTGTGTGGTGGGTGCCTGCTCCTGTGGACACCATGTGGCCTGGCTGCATAGGGGCAACTGCCTCAGTATTAGGTAGGTCACAGACACTATAACACATTTAAAAACACCACTTATGAGCTTATTTCTCCTTCTATTTAAAAAATAAAATAAAATTGCAGTCGAGCTTGGCAATGAACCCTGAAGTAGAAGACATTTTAAAGTACTTTTATTAATGAAAGTTGCATAGACTAAGTTATTTAGGAAGGCAACGTTAAATGTGAGAAAACTACATCAAGTTTCCCCTACGTACCAAGCATAAACCGTGGTTCTGTCCAAAAGATGGACACAAGAAAGGAAAATACTGGCACCAGTCTATGTATGTTATTATAGTGCCCAGTGGCTGGTAGGTCAGATTTAATTGAGGAGGAAGCTAAACTGGGAGAAGGGTCTGGGAGAGGGCTATATACAGAGGAAGTTGGCTACTTAAAATTGTGAAGAATTTTTTTTTTTACTTCATAGTAAACATTTAAAGTCATGCACCTTGTTAATTATCCCTTGGTTTAGTATTCTTTCTTCCATAGCATTTAAAAATATATAAGATAAATGTTAACTTAGGGGGCCATGGTGACACATCCAATCGAGCTCATATGACCTCAATATTGGTGCACAAGACAAAAATCACTCTGCTCTTGGATGGAAAATCTTGAGGGAACACTGCCTGGTATGTCTGATTCTGAACCCATAAGTTCTCCAACTAACAAGAGAGTATTAGTAAAGAAAAAGAAATGGTTACTTACCTCATAACTGTCGTTTTTTGAGATGTGTTGCTCATGTCCATTCTAGTTAGGTGTGTGTGTGCCGCGCGCATGTATCCCTTAGCAGTATCCATTGGGCCAACCAGGGAGCCCCCTGGAGTGGTGCTGCAATACTGGGGTATATATATACCCTTGATGGTCCTCCACCCCCTCAATTCCTTCTTGCCGGAATCCTCTGATGAAGGGGAGGTAGATGGGGTTTGGAATGGACATGAGCACCACATCGCGAAGAACAGTTACGAGGTAAGTAACTATTTCTTCTTCTGAATGCTTGCTCATGTCCATTCCAGTTAGGTGACCCCCTAGGAGTACTACTGGAGGCAGGGTTGGAGACTAATCTGTAATGGACTGCAACACAGCCCTACCAAAGGCAGCGTTGTCTCTGGCCTGCTGCACAATTGCATAATGGCTTGTGGATGTATGTATAGAGGACCATGTGGCTGTTCTGCAGATATTTAGAATAGGCACCGGTGCAACAAAGGCCATCGACAAGGCCTGCATTCTTGTGGAGTGGGCCGTAGGCAGGGATGCTGGCCAATTAGCACGGTTATAACAGGCTCTAATGCAGGATGTGATCCAAGAGGGGACAAACTGTGCTGACATCAGGCGGCCCTTCATCCTCTCAACTATGGAAATAAAGTGTTGTGGTGACCTACGAAACTCTCTCATCCTATCTATGTAAAAGGCTAAAGTTCTCCTAATGTCTAGAGTGCAGGGATCGCTCTTTGAACACTGAGTGTGGTTTTGGGAAGAAAACTGGGAGGCAGATATCCTGGGACATGTGGAAGTGGGAAACTACCTTTGGGAGAAAGGAGGGGTGGAGGTGGAGTCTCACCCTATTATTGAAGAAAACCATATATGGAGGCTCAGACATGAGGGCCCTCAGCTCCAAAACTCTCCTGGACAATGTAATGGCCACTAAAAAAAGCTACCTTCCATGAAAAGTGTTTTAGAGAGCAAGTAGCTAAGGGCTCAAACAGGACTCATTAGCCTCGTTAGAACCAGGTTATGGTCCCAGTGGGGTAAGGGCTGACAAACATGGGGACTGGGCAGGCTGTACCCACTTGAGGAATCGCATATGCACATACTATCCTGCTCCCTTTTCCTGGGTGGAACGCTGCAATAGCTGCTAGGTGAACCCACAAGGATGATGTGAAAAGGCCCTGTTGCCTAAGTTGTAAGAGGTAGTCCAGAACGATAAGGATGGGGACGTCCAAAGGGGCCACACTCACCTACGAGTCCCACAGACAAAAGCACCTCCACTTTGCCATGTACATGGCCCTAGTGGATGGCTTCCTATTCTCCAATAGGACCCTTCTCTCAGGATCAAAATAGAGGTGTTCAGCCTCTGCTAACCACTAAAGTGTCACACTGAAAGGTGGAGGGATGAGAAGTTCAGGTGGTATAACACCCTCCACTCCCCCCCACCCCCCCGGGTCCTGATTAATTAGGTCTGGTACTAATAGCCGCACCACTGGTTCTTCTACTGCTATGTTCAGGAGCGTGGGGAACCAGTGCTGGGAGGCCACACCAGTGCTACCATGATCACTGAAGCCTTGAACCTCCTGATCCTGAGTATTAAGGAGAATGGTCTGGCCTGCTTTCAGACCAGATGTCCTCCAGACTCCAAAGACTCGAGGGCTGCACTAAAGTCTTTGGGCATCCATATCCCTAGACCCACTCTGAGACCTTTCCAGCAAAGCCACAGGCCCGAGCAGGGTAGAAGGAAGGGTAGGAATAACAACAACAACAACAGAAGGAATAGGCTCAAGAGATCATGGTCAGACTCCAAAAGGGATTCCGGCCCGCCTCATATCAAACAACCTAAGCCCTAATTTTGAAGTTACGCTTGAAAACAGAGTCCCAGTCTCCACAATAATTCCTTCCTTTGAGTGCCATCTATCCCATTCCTGCCATGCCTGGACCTGGATTACTTCAGATTGTTGGGTGCTGGGCATGGTGGAGAGCGGATATGCTGTCATGATTATGAGGGTTAGCCAACAGCCTGGGGATTAAGGGGTTAACTACACCTAGCCAGGTGGAGTGACCAATAGGAATGTAGGTGGGACTTTTCAACTGGGACAAAGGAATTTGTTTTTTTGTCCTTTCTCCTTTTTTTTTTTTGTCTCTGGGAGTTCTCTGCAGATACAGAGAGGGACAAGCATGTCTCTCTCTCTCTCTCTCTCTCTCCAAGACACCATTCTTCATTTTCTGTAAGTAGGGTAAAGTTTAGGTAGTTTCGTTAGGTTTTATTGTTTTAAGGATTGGGTATGGGATCTGAGATCTGGCACTGTTTAAAAGATGTTTTGGCTTTTCTTTGTAACTAAGTTCTAGGCCCATGGAGTTTCTCCATGAGTATATTTTGTTACCTCCCTATCTAGTCATTATGTTTGCAACAGGAATATTGTTGTAATAATAAAAGTTCTTTCTTTTCTTTTTATTAACCTGGCAGTGGTTAATTGTGTGCCTTGATTTTTATTTTAGGGGTAAGATTTCCCAAATGATCTTTTCCCTGATTTCTTTATCAACATTTGGGTGGTGGCAGCGGAAGTTTTATTCCCAAGATCTAGTTTTTTAAGATTTTGGGGGAATTTTTATACCAAAGCCTGGTAGATAAGGCTTTGGGGTACACTTGCTGACCCCCACTTCTGCATTTATCATGCTAGAGTGGGGAAGGAGCCATGACATATGCCATGCCCTTCCTTTCCTCACCTCCCTCCCATCGCCCTTCCCCATCCCTCTTTAGGGA